ATAGCTCCAGACCTGACTCTGGCACCCGTGGGGCAGCTTGCATTTCACCCCTGCCCGTTGCTGAGAGCAGACGGGCACAGCGAGGGCAGGACGGTGATTCAAGGCACCCCGCTCTCTGCAAGGGCCACGCCAGAGCGTCACGCTGCAGGGTGTGGTGGGAACGAGGTGACCAGGCCTCGCCAGGAGAAGCCTCCTGCACAGCCCAGCCCAGCCCCTGCGCCATGAGGGACAGTGGAGGACACCAAGGCTGCAGGGGGGCAGAGCCACTGGGAGGGCCTGGTGCCCCGGTGACGGTGTGAGGTGGGGGCCCTGTCCAGGGCCCCACCCCCAGTCCTGCTGGGGGACCACGTGTGACACAGACACAGAGGCACAGCCCCTGGCTCAAAGCCCCCGCGCCAGCACACTGAAGGCCAAACTCCTAGCGCCCCTCAAAGCCTCGCAGAGTGGCCCAGCCCGTCCCCTCGGCGCATCTCGCCTCCTCCTGCCTTCCACATGGGACTCTGAGCCCCAGGGCCACTCACAGAGGACACCTCCCGGGAGCTGTCCCCAGGCCCCAGGGGACCCAGTGCCTCCCTGTGCGTGCTGAGGCCGTGTCCCCGCAGCCCCCAGACCACCTGCCCACGGGCATCGTCCCCCCAGGGGCTCTCCATCTCGGTCCGATGCAGCCCAGGCCGAGGATCCAACTGGTGCCCGTCAAGTGGCCCTCGGGGGACCCCGGTAGCCTGAGGCCTGAGCCTGCGGCGGCTCAGGCCCTCCCTGCCGCTGCCCCCGCTGCTGGGCACCCCTGGGCAGGCGCAGCTGGCTGGAAAGGGAAGCGGGCCTCGCGACGCACTCGCTTTATTTTTAGATCCAGTGACTCATCTCCAGGCTCCGGCCTCCACAGAGGCCCGCAGGGGCCGGACTGCGCCAGCCCCACTCAAGCCCCTGCCCCACCCGTCCACTGAGGTGCCCCTGAAAACTGGCCAGAGGAACCCAAGGGTCCAGCCCGCCGCCCACAGCGCCATGAGGCACTCACTGAGCCTGACCCTGAACGGCTCCTGCCTGCAGCCTCCTTGTCCTCTTTTCCTAGGTGGGCATCCTCCCTCCTCCTCCTCCCTCCTCCTTTCTCTCCCTCCTCCCTCCTCCCTCCTCTTCCTCCCCC